TTTCCGAGCATCAAATAATCTGATAACACAAGCCAAAAAATATAATTTTTAAAATGTGGCAGAGATACATCCTGGCCCTGAGACAATGTCCTTAAACAAGTCCGAGTAAAACGACCGACCGACCGACAAACGAGAAATTTCACGTATCGTTCCGCCGAAATTACTCGAGAATGCGAAAAAAAAACTGGGAAAAAGTGTAGCTCCGAAATCAGTATTTCATGCGTATGCGAATCGCGTTTTTATATTCATGGAAATATCCAAACACGCCAGGTGAGAAACCAATGGTTATGCGCCGAATGCGCGTCGTTGCGCCTTCTTCGTGCTTTCATTGTACGATTGGAAAATATTTGCGTACATTTTCGAGCACGATTATACATTTTTTTCGCCGCGTCTTTTCTCGCATATTTTTAGCGATTTAAAAATTTCATATACATTTCATCACACATCCGTATATCCGTAGCTAGAAAAACAGCGGAATAAAATTTGAAAAACATTATGCGTAATATGAATTCTTTTTCTAAATCGAGCGTTAAGCATTCCGCTAGAAACAACAAATATCCCTCAAATGGCGAATGAGTAAACTTAGTTTAGCATATTACGCAAACAAGTAATAGTAGTTATCGGAATCCATTCTGTGCAATACATAGACCGCGGGCGAAGATTAAATAATAAACGTTAATCGGTTTTATGGAAGCGTTTCATTTCGCACATCGGAGGAATATTATTTTTGTTATTTTTAACGATAACAATCGCGCCGCTGTTGAACCGAGTAGAAAATCACTCTTCGGTCTCGGCCGATTACTTGAAAACTTTTTCCAAGGGACTGCGAGCAATGGAGGCGGAAAGGGTTGGAGATTTCGCTGAAGGATCATCGCGCTTTAAGCATTTTCATTTCGTGGCATTTCTCCGGACGCGAAGGGCCGTAGGAAGAAAAAAAAGAGGCAGAAGGGGAAAGGTTCGCGATGGCGTCGTGGGATTCGTTGCTGATTGGACGATGGCAAGGGTACGCATTTTTAGCCACCCTTCGGATCTGCCCTCATTGTCATTTTAATTTCGATCCCCTCGGGG